AAACTCACTCATAGTTAGAAGTTTCAGTATGGGCATAATATTACTTTTATATATATTCTTTTGGTGGAAAGCATTATTATGGCTGTTTATGGTATCATTCTTCTTCTTTATCAATATAATAATTACTTTAGCCTTTTTATTTGAAAAAAAAATATCTTATTGGCTTAATTTTTCTTATTAATAACATTTTTTTTATAAACACATATTTCAATGAATTATTTTTGTTGATGTTTGGTTTTGGACACCAACGACTTGCGCGTGTAAAGTGCTAAGAGAGTTTTAAAAATTACATGTGATGGTTCTATGAGATTTGAATATCGTACTGAGAATATATATATTGCAGAAAAATAAATAGAAGATTGGCAAGAGAGGTTTTTAAAGTGGTTTAGATGCTTAAAGTGAATCCTACATCCACTGTTATTGTATTATTCTCTAGCTATTTCTATAATATTATCCGTAAGACATACAAAGATGGAGAAAAACTTTGTTTATAGAGAGAAATAATGAAGCTCAAATCTATGTCTAGCTCTCATTTGTCTAACCTCTTTTTTTCGTGAAGAGAAGTGTCTATTTATACACCTCTGAGTTCAATGTAATAAGTGTTTTGCAAGTTGCCTTGATACATGAGCAGCTCTTATCTGTTATTCTCTTAAAATGAGATAGGGTTGGTATAAGATATCTTTGAGACGGTATGAACTTGACATGAAGTATAATTTATTTTTTAGATACTTATTGAACTGATATCAACGTGACCTTTTAGGTATAATAATTTTTAATTTTTATTAAATTCTTTTTTAAATATAATTATAAAAATTAAGAAAACTGCAAAACTGGTCGGTGGGGTGGTTCACCGGACAACAGCCACCGCTGGTGTCCAAATGTCGTCAATGGAGGCGTGTCCGGTGCAAAATTTATAGATGTATGAAATTCAATTCCAAAATTACCCATAATTTAATGATTCCTTCTTAAAACTTAACTATACACGATTGACTATTATGAAAAAACTGCATAAAAGTAAAACTCTGTACATAAACAAAGATCTTTGAAAGCTAAACCCATAAACGTTCTTCATTAAAACTAAACAATCAGAAACCATAAAAGGTTTTTACACTAAAAGATTATAACCCTACAAAATCAGCTCCATGATAATAGATTAATTAAAATAGCTGCAATGGGTACTTAAAAGAATATTCTTAGATAATAACGTTTTAAACAATTTAAAGAGTTAATGCAATAAAAAATGGCAGAAGATTGAAACTAGTTTCATTTTGGTACAAGTTCATTTTCCGTAAAATTCAATTCAAACCATGAACTTTGATTCACGGGTATCAATTNTTATTTGAAAAAAAAATATCTTATTGGCTTAATTTTTCTTATTAATAACATTTTTTTTATAAACACATATTTCAATGAATTATTTTTGTTGATGTTTGGTTTTGGACACCAACGACTTGCGCGTGTAAAGTGCTAAGAGAGTTTTAAAAATTACATGTGATGGTTCTATGAGATTTGAATATCGTACTGAGAATATATATATTGCAGAAAAATAAATAGAAGATTGGCAAGAGAGGTTTTTAAAGTGGTTTAGATGCTTAAAGTGAATCCTACATCCACTGTTATTGTATTATTCTCTAGCTATTTCTATAATATTATCCGTAAGACATACAAAGATGGAGAAAAACTTTGTTTATAGAGAGAAATAATGAAGCTCAAATCTATGTCTAGCTCTCATTTGTCTAACCTCTTTTTTTCGTGAAGAGAAGTGTCTATTTATACACCTCTGAGTTCAATGTAATAAGTGTTTTGCAAGTTGCCTTGATACATGAGCAGCTCTTATCTGTTATTCTCTTAAAATGAGATAGGGTTGGTATAAGATATCTTTGAGACGGTATGAACTTGACATGAAGTATAATTTATTTTTTAGATACTTATTGAACTGATATCAACGTGACCTTTTAGGTATAATAATTTTTAATTTTTATTAAATTCTTTTTTAAATATAATTATAAAAATTAAGAAAACTGCAAAACTGGTCGGTGGGGTGGTTCACCGGACAACAGCCACCGCTGGTGTCCAAATGTCGTCAATGGAGGCGTGTCCGGTGCAAAATTTATAGATGTATGAAATTCAATTCCAAAATTACCCATAATTTAATGATTCCTTCTTAAAACTTAACTATACACGATTGACTATTATGAAAAATCTGCATAAAAGTAAAACTCTGTACATAAACAAAGATCTTTGAAAGCTAAACCCATAAACGTTCTTCATTAAAACTAAACAATCAGAAACCATAAAAGGTTTTTACACTAAAAGATTATAACCCTACAAAATCAGCTCCATGATAATAGATTAATTAAAATAGCTGCAATGGGTACTTAAAAGAATATTCTTAAATAATAACGTTTTAAACAATTTAAATAGTTAATGCACTAAAAAATGGCAGAAGATTGAAACTAGTTTCATTTTGGTACAAGTTCATTTTCCGTAAAATTCAATTCAAACCATGAACTTTGATTCACAGGTATCAATTCTGAACTTTCTATTCTTTTTATTGTTGCTAATCAATGTCATAAAGTAGAAACGCGAAAAGGATTAAAAAAAAGAGTAATGTTATGCTTACTCACGATCTTATTAACCATCTTACTATTATTTGTTAAAATTACATATGGTACCCGTACTATACTTTATATTTACACAGGATAGTAAAATGGTTAGTAAGATCGTGAGTAAACATAGTATTATTGTAAAGAAAAAATATTCAATATAATTTTAATTTTTCATCCTTGCATTTATTTCTCGCTAGAGATTGGGACTGGTGCTAAACCCCGGCCCAGCCTGAAAACCCTGCAAGAATTAGATATTAAATAAATAAAATATTTTTTATAAAACATTTGCAAAGCAAAATAAATAATTTTCTTTTCAATATCTGTTTTTTATGTGATCTACCTATTGTAGTTAAGGAATTAGTATTTTGGGTCTTAAATATAATAATTAAGATAGAATCATATTAAGCTTTACATACATACCTTTTTAGATTTGAGGAGTTTTAAAAAGTAAATTAGTATCTTTAATATATATATATATATTTTTTAATTTAAAACTTCATTGAATATATAACTTTTTGTAAGAGATAATCATTTTCTTAGTATTGCATTAATCTTCTATAGCTTGCATGCCATAGATAAGGAAACAAAAAAAAGTATGTGGTAAGAACTAGGATAACTCATGTTTCTCTATAATCTATATTCATTTAATGAACTTTTTGCTAATTTTTTTTTTAATTTACCCCCTTTTTATTTATTATAAAAAAAAAAAATTGTATAAGTGAATATGACACAATAAAGTTTAATAAGATCAAAGATTGGATTGTGACGGAGAATGGATGATGATCCTCAACCTACTACAATGTCAACTCCATTAAATAGATCACCGATAGACAGGGGGTGGAAGTAGCGTATGGTTAACCGAAGCTACAGCTCAGGTAAATTTTTTTATTTTTTATTTTTATTTTTTATTTTTATTAGAATAGGATAAGTTTGAGGTTGGCCTATAATTTTTAGTTTTATAAGATTTTCTAGAATTCTAGCAAGCCAACCGAATTCTTATAAAACATTTTAATGATTTAAAACTTTAATAGCTTATTCATTACATTTACTAATACAAATTTCACAATTCCCATATAGCATCACAAAATCCATTGGGTTTTATGTCAACATATTTATCTACCGTACACAAATACTTATTTTTATTTATAAATAATAATTATTTTTATCACTCTCTATTGTTTAAAAAAATGTTTCAATTTCATCATCGAATAAAGAAGAATCATAACTTTTACGTAGTAAGAAAACCTTACAATTTGTATAACCGCTCCACAAATTAGGTGTATGTATCTCATTCAGTTACTGAAATTTATTTATACTATCAATATTCATTTAAAACTGTTACATATAATTTCAAAAAAAAATAAAAAAAAATCAACCCTCTCATAATCAACAGAGTAATCATTCACACGTTATACAACTTAAATAGCCAAACATTTGTGATTTCAGAATCTAGTTCATTTATTAAGTGTTAAAAGAATAGTGCCCAAGTTTCAAGGTGAGCATTCTTAGAGAATGCTTTTTTGGTTTCATTAGTGGGATGATTTGATTATTGATTGAATTAAACCACACTTGTTAGGTGTAATTTTTTTTTTTTTTTCTTTTTTTTTTTGGTTTATTTTTTATTTTTTTTATTTATTTTTTTTTTATTTTTAATCTTTTTTCTGTTTTATTTTTTTTATTATTTTTTCTTTTTATTATTTTAATATTTTAATTTTTTTTTTTTTTAATTATTTTTTCTATTTTTTTTTTTAAATTTTTTTTTTTTCCTAATTTTATTTTTTTTTATCTTTTATTTTTAAGTGTTTTGGATGAATTGTGCAAGTCTATCTTATATATCCAAAGAGACAATTTTGTTAGATTTGAAGAGTAAGGCTTTCGTCACCCTTAAGTAGCGCTTAGGTGTCACGGTCACATCTTCAAGTCCTTATGGTTGCTCAAGTAACTTGCTTTACTTAGTCTCTCTTTGGCTTTTATTTGGACATTTTTATGCCAAAATTTAATTATCTTGATATTATCAAATCAATACAACTTCTTCAGATGAAAGTTTGGTGTATATATATGTAATTTGATTTTGTCAAAATTTGAGTTTTATTTTAGAGAAGCGATTGCCCGACTAAAATTAAAAAAATGCGTCGCCATAGTTTGACCATTATACCGATTATAGTATTCAAACCCTCTATACTAGTTACCAATTTTGACAGCATTATTTTTGCTCTCACCAACCCCCCTCACCTACTCCCAGTTTCTAGCTCTCTCCATATAGCCGTTAAATCAAACGCCGTCACAAGCTCACCCACTTCCCAACACATGACCACACGCTTCACCTAACGCGTTGCCATCAAACCACTCCAACCAACCTTTGCCTCACATATTATAAAACCCAAACCAACCAGAACCCAAATTCATCAAATCTCATTCCTTCATCATCATCACACTTAATTACCCCGCCAAATTTCTCCCACGTTCAGCCATGGATCTCCTCCTGTTGGAGAAGACCCTCTTAGCTCTCTTTGTTGCTGTTGTTCTCGCCATTACCATCTCCAAACTTCGCGGCAAGCGCTTTAAGCTTCCTCCTGGTCCCATCCCAGTTCCTGTTTTTGGTAACTGGCTTCAAGTTGGTGATGACTTGAACCACAGAAACTTGACTGACTTAGCCAAGAAATTTGGTGAAATATTTTTGCTTCGAATGGGGCAACGTAATCTTGTGGTTGTTTCTTCACCAGACCTTGCCAAAGAGGTTTTGCATACTCAGGGTGTCGAGTTTGGTTCAAGAACTAGAAATGTTGTGTTTGATATCTTCACTGGGAAGGGTCAAGATATGGTTTTTACTGTGTATGGAGAACATTGGAGAAAGATGAGAAGGATTATGACGGTGCCATTTTTTACAAACAAGGTTGTTCAACAATATAGGTATGGTTGGGAAGATGAGGCTGCGCGTGTTGTTGAGGATGTGAAGAAGAATCCTGAGGCCGCAACAACTGGGATTGTTTTGAGGAGGAGATTGCAACTGATGATGTACAATAACATGTACAGGATTATGTTTGATAGGAGGTTCGAGAGTGAGGAGGATCCTTTGTTTAATAAATTAAAGGCTTTGAATGGTGAGAGAAGTAGGTTAGCTCAGAGCTTTGAATATAATTATGGTGATTTTATTCCTATTTTGAGGCCATTCTTGAGTGGTTATTTGAAGATCTGCAAGGAAGTCAAAGAAAGAAGGTTACAATTGTTCAAGGACTATTTTGTTGAGGAGAGGAAGTAAGTTATTTGTACCATTCTTTTTTCTTCATTATTTTAATTATGACTTAGTTTGTTAATTTTATTAAAAATTATTTAATGTTGACAGGAAACTCGCAAGCACCAAGAGCATGAGCAATGAAGGGCTGAAATGTGCTATTGATCATATTTTGGACGCTCAGCAAAAGGGAGAGATTAACGAGGATAATGTTCTTTACATTGTTGAGAATATCAATGTTGCTGGTAAGTTATTTAATTCATTTCTTAATTTACATTACATTTACTTTCACATCATATTCATATCTGTCACTCACTCAAGGGCATTTTCGTCATTACATTTTCAAAGAAGTTCTCCTACTAAATTTCATTTTATCCCTTGAATCGGTCGTAGAAGGAATTTTTAATATTCAGTTAACACTAATTCTTTTTGCGGAAATTATTAATTATTGATAATGATCGCATACCCACAAAATTATTAATTTGAATTGCTTATGTACAACTAAGAGAGAAATTATTAATTATTTAATTATTTTACTCTAAAAAAGAGATTTGGATTATGATTATTTATTATTAGCACCTTTGGTGTTTATAGCGACAAGTGGGCATCATGCTTGTGGCGGTAAAAGAGTTACGCAGTATAATGATTATAGGTGCTACATAGTTTGAGTAGAGGATTAATATACTGATTTGAAGTAAAAGATTAGGTGTGAAAAGGTTGAGTTGGAGTGATTTGAGAAGCATGACCAATCAACAATTCTTACCTAACTTAATTACTAGCCGTCCACATCCATCCACCTTCATTAAGAAACTCAGTTCACCGCTGTTGTGGTTGCTCATAATACAAGCAACGTGCATAAATTATCTCTATTTTCAAGATAAGTATGACCTAACTAGATGGTTGACACGCCTTGGTGGTTTATCCACTTCATTTACTACTTTTAGGGGTTTATTTCTTGTTCATCCCCCTCAGAGATTATTAAGTTTCAAGTGTCCTTGCAATTTCCAGAAAGTACTTAAAACACCCCTAATCTTATTTACTATGACAGCAATTGAGACAACCCTATGGTCAATTGAGTGGGGAATTGCGGAGCTTGTGAACCATCCTGATATCCAAAAGAAGCTTCGAGATGAACTTGACACTGCTCTTGGGCGTGGTGTTCCAATCACTGAACCTGATACCTACAAACTGCCTTACCTTCAAGCTGTGATAAAGGAGACTCTAAGGCTGAGAATGGCAATTCCACTGCTTGTGCCACACATGAATCTTCATGATGCTAAACTTGGTGGATATGATGTTCCTGCTGAAAGCAAAGTCTTGGTGAATGCTTGGTGGCTTGCAAACAATCCTGCACATTGGAAGAACCCAGAAGAATTCAGGCCAGAGAGGTTCTTGCAAGAGGATTCAAAAGTTGAGGCCAATGGAAATGACTTCCGTTATCTTCCTTTTGGTGTTGGGAGAAGAAGCTGCCCTGGAATTATTCTTGCATTGCCAATTCTTGGTATTACAATTGGGCGTTTGGTACAAAATTTTGAGCTCTTGCCTCCACCAGGGCAGTCCAAGCTTGATACTTTAGAAAAGGGTGGACAGTTCAGCTTGCACATTTTGAAGCACTCAACTATTGTGGCCAAGCCTAGGTCTTTTTAATTAATTTCACACTCTTTTTTTTTTTTTTTTTTTTTTTTTGGCGTAATATTACTTTATGGTTTTTGAATGTGGGATTCAGATGGAATGGGCTTATTATGTTATATCTGGGATGTAACAGTGTAAATCTGTGAACTTATTCAGATGTTGAATGGAGATTTGAAATAAGTTTATCTAATTCATTTCTCAATTGCATGTCAGAAACTTACATTTCAACTTTTTTATGTGTGACTTACCATCAATTGTTACAATTACCCAATCAAATAAGGTCACACTCTTAATTTGGTCCACCATATTGACATCCTTAACTCAAAAGCCTCAAAATTGGTATACAAAGGTTAGGGCCCCTATCCTTTAAGCCACAAAGCATGTGACAAACTTGTACTAAAGTCGTACTCGTACCTAACCAGCATGATGTATAAATTCTTTCGTTGGCAAGAAATTAAAATAATTAGACGTTCCAAAGCCGAACATATATAAAATGGTTATAAATTCGACTTATTTGGATGAATTTGGGATTGCTCTAATTTTAGATAATCACTTCTAGCTATATTGTACAAATAATTAATTGTAGCAGGTCGAATGATATTTCGACCCGCAATCTAGAGGTGGGCAAAAAGCCGGAGCCCAAAATCCGGTCTCAGGCCCAAGGGAGGAGGGACCGGGTAATTTTTGCACAGCCCTGCTATACAAGCAAAACATAACCAAGTCCCTCGTTATTTTATTTGATTCTTTTTTCAAAGAACTATAAAATTGAATCAGCGTCGCTTGCACTTAAAAAGAGTAATACAGTCTATGACATCGTCGCTACCAGGTACCAATCAACCCTCTCTGTTCAAACCTCCAACTCTAAAATTCAGGTAAAAAGAACAAGACGATGCCGTATCTGCCACCACACCTCAGGAACTCCACTTCAAACTCAATGAGCAAAGCATCTCCCACCAACTCCTCTGTAGCAACCCTAAACACTGACAACTCCAAGCTCTCATTTTCTTCAAATTCAAATTCTGTCGCCTCCTTCTCTAATGCCTTTCGTCGGACCGCCGCTGCTCAAACCCTCCCTGAACCTTTTTTCGCTACCTGGAAACCCTCCGACCGCATCCTCCGCTTGCAACCTCAACAAGTGAGTACCAGTAATTTGATGCTTTTCTGTTGTTTAGTGGCTCATTCATTGAATATAAAGATAGTTTAAAATAAAATTGAATATATGCGTTTTTTTTTCTTTTTTTTTTTTGTTTTTTTTTTTTTTTTTTAATTAAATTGTAAATTTTAAATTATTTTTTATTTTTTTTTTATTTTTAAAATTTTTAATTTAGTTTCTCCGTAAAATAAAAGGAGCAATGAAAAACAAATTTGCATTTAATGTGTGAATCTTTTATTTGAATGTGTAATTTTGTACAGATTGAAGAGGTACGTTCGCGGCTTCATGTTGATGTTAACGTTGGTTCACGCTCTCTTCCTGCTCCTCCACCAATTGAATCTTTTTCAGACATGGTGAGCTTTGAGTATATTGGGTAATTTTTTCTCCTTTTTTGATGTAATGGGCAATGTCAAATTTGACGTGTATATAAATATATTTGTCATTTTTCCAGTGTTTGCACCCTAGTATCGTGAAGGATATTGAGTTTCATGAATATACAAGGCCAACTTCTATTCAGGCTCAGGCGATGCCGGTAGCTCTTAGTGGAAGGGATCTGTTGGGTTGTGCTGAAACTGGTAGTGGTAAAACTGCTGCATTCACCATCCCTATGATACAGGTCAAGAGTTGGTTTATATTAAAACAAAGGATGTTGTATTTTCTTTGTCATCCTGTGATGATAATTTGTATGTATCCTGCAGATGGTAGTCATTTTTAATTTGATTTTGGTATGTCATGTGCAATATGCGGCACTGATGGCTCAAACACCAGTTAGGCGTGGTGATGGACCATTGGCATCGGTATTGGCTCCTACTAGAGAACTTGCCCAACAAATTGAAAAAGAGGTGAGATTTTTAGCTATATAGTTCCATGATGTTGGAAATAACTGCTCATATTATGAATGATCTCATTATATAGTGCTGACTTTTATGGAGGAGGTGTTCTACCTTCATTTAGGGGGTGTTTGTCTAAGCTTATGAAAATTAACTTATAAGAACAAGTGCTTATAAGCTAAAATAGTTTATAAGCATTTGAAATTTTAAGCAATTACGTGTTTGGTTAAAGTACATATAAATGACTGATAAGTAGTTGACGTGTTGGTAAAATGTGGGTATAAGTACATTTTATTATAAAAGACTAAAAAAGGTACTACATTAATAAAGGTATACTATGGAATTTTAAAATTAAATAAGGATAATATGGTAATATACTTGGTCAAACTAACTTATAAGCGAGTGCTTATAAGCAAAAAAAAAAAAAAAAAAGTATTTTCCTCCCAACTTATTTTTTTTTTTGCTTGTAAACTCAACTTATAAGCTCAAAAAAGTTATAAACAAACATGTCAGCTTAATTTTAGAGCTTATAAGTTAGTTTGACCAGCTTATAAGCTTAGACAAACACCCTCTTAGTTCTAGCAGTCTCCTGAAACAGCTTCTTAACAGTTGAGGTTTCTTACAGCTGGTTTTGAGCTCTGTAATTATATTAGGAAAACTTGGTGAATAATAGTTTCAAAGTGTTTTTTGCCTTTGGTCGTGTGTGCTCGACTTTCAGAAAAAGCCTGTTCTATAAATTATGCTAACTTCTTTCGTTGGCAAGAAATTAAAATATTTAGACGTTCCAAAGCCGAACATATATAAAAAGGTTATAAATTTTTATGAATTCAACTTATTTGGATGAATTTGGGATTGCTCTAATTTTAGATAATCACTTCTAGCTATATTGTACAAATAATTAATTGTAGAAGGTCGAATGACATTTCGACCCGCAATCTAGAGGTGGGCAAAAAGCCGGAGCCCAAAATTTGGTTCCAAGCCCAAGGGAGGAGGGATCGGGTATTTTTTGCACAGCCTTGCTATACAACCAAAACATAACCAAGTCCTCGTTATTTTATTTGATTCTTTTTCCAAAGAAGAGTAAACGACATATTCCCACCCAAGGTTTGACGAAATCTCAAGTTGGTACCTCTGGTACATTTATTCCAATTCCCACCCTTAAAGTGACGGAAAAGTGTTTGATGTAACAGTAAATGGGTAAATTGGTTATTTTGCATGGGTGGCATACGCTAGTAGATTGTCGCCGCTAATAGTCTTTCGATGCACGTTAGCAGATGACGTCCCCGACATTTTTTTCCTTTGGGCCCAAAACCCGGTCCCAGGCCCAAGGGAGGAGAGATCAGGCTTGGGATCGGTCCTAGTTCGGTCTCGGTTAACTTCAAAACCCCCTTCACCCAATTACAAAAGCCCCTTGACAAATATCTAAAACCCCCTATAATATATGTTAAACTCTAAGTATGACTAAATATTCTTGAAAAGGGGGGAATAGGAATCAATAAAAATATTTGCGAAATAAAACTTATCAATGAGAGTTAAAGCAAATAGTGAATTTATCAACACAATGTTCAATGGCTAGATTCAACAACTCAAGAATGATAAAGGTGTTACTAAACACTATGATTTGAAGAGATCAATTAAATGCATTCAACTTGTAAACAATAAGTATGAATAATGAATGCAAGAACAAGTGCAATAAATGATGCTCAACCAACAATAATGCAATGTAATAGAGTTGAGAGAGAGAGAGAGAGAGATGCTTTGCAATTTATAGTGGTTTGGAGCTATATCCATAAGCCTTCTGCATCCATTACTTCAAGGCAACGTCCTTAAAGTTCCACTAGAATTGGATTTCGCCCATACAATAGTTTTCACAAGGGTTTTCGCCTCACACATATAGATTTATAGGATTGCACCTAGTTTTACAAGATTTTACCACCAAGGAAAAGATTTAAAGTTGTTTGTGACTGACTGCCTCCTTCAAGTAGGCTTATACACATAATTAGAACAAATGGTCTCTCAAAGGTTTACAAGATGAGTACAAGTGAGAGTACTGATTTGGATTTTGAGCTCTGGGGATTATATTATGATGTTTTTCTAATCTCTTCTCTGTAAAATAACCTAGGAGCATCAAACTTTTATAACCCAAAAAGAATTAGCCATTGCAGCATTTAATGCAGTTTTAATAAAGCCTATAGAACCTAGAGGAATGGTCGTTCCTAACTCAACGGTCATATTTTTTAGATCTAGGTAAACTGGAACAGTCATTCCACTACATTGTATGATCGTGCAAGACCACTACACGGTTATTCCACCACGCAGAACCATCACATCCAGTTGTTCCTCTAAATCTTCTTAAATTTCCAGAGGAGTGAACGACCTATTGGAACGATGTTGTGCAAAACTTCTTCAGATATGAATGGTCATTCCACCACAAGGAATGATCGTTCTAATATTGAACTTTGAGTTTTGACTTTGACCTTTGAGATGAAGTCAAGAGTGCGAAGTGTCCTGGATTTGAATTATCTTGACTTTTGAACTTGGGCGCATGGTCATGCAGGATGGTCCTTCGAGTGCAGTTTGGTCATGCGAGTGCCACTTCAAATTAGCAATGTGACTAATGACCAAGAGGACGATGTCGTGTGATATTGCCTAGCAACTTTCTTTTAAGGAATGGTTGTGCATTGATCACGCACGGTCTTACCTAAGCAAAAATTTGCTTATGCACTATTGAATCACCTGTTCGACATGTTTTTTTTTTTTTTTTTGTTGTGACTTGAGTCATACCTTAGCATGTTATGGTTAGTGTTCAATCAACTTTTTGGACAGTTTTGGCACATCAAAACATGTGAGAGGTCAATAATCTCCCCCTTTTTGATTGATGACAAAACTAAACAAAAATTGAGTTCAAAACAAGCATAATAACATATATTCAACATACATATTCAACATGCATTTTCATAAACCAAAACTTGATGGAGCACAAAAGCTCCCCCTTTTACCAACATATCAAGTAAACAAAAAAAAAAAAAAAAAAAAAAAAAAAAAAAAAAAAAAAAATCCTTCAATAAAACACACCAAATCACAAATATACACACTTCTTATATTCACAAACAACTTTCCCCCTTTTTGTCGTCAATCAAGGAAGACATTAAACAACAAAGTAAGGATGAAAAAAAAATTTAGAAACAAAGTATGTATTTGCATAATCATATCAAAATGAATACAAAACAAAAGTACGTGTCACAATGGACACTAATGTTTCCCATTGTGCATAGATAAAAGACACAAAAAAACTAAGTTTAAAATAAATAAAACACACATGAGGAAAAACATAAAAACATGCTAAGGGTTTGTAGGTGAGGATGGTGGAGGAGGAAAGGATGGAAGTTTGTCCATCAACTAAGCAAAAGACTAGAGAGCCTTTTTGATTCCTTTGAGAAGTTTTTTAATGTCTTGAAACTTAGGATCAAAGTAGGCCTTTATCCTTTCAAAGTCATCCAAAGGAGTTGAGCTTGGTCCAGCTTCATCTTGTCCAGCTTCAATACTTTGGATTTTTCTTCTTGGCATGACCTTAACAGGAGAATCAAAGCTTTCGAAGCCATTCTCTTCCTCTTCTGCTATTCTTTTCCCTTTATCCAAAACCCATTTATCTTTTCCAGCAGACTTCACCATGTGCATATGTTGCAACATGGAGCCATCAATTAGATGAGAGGAACCAAAAGGAACCTTCCTAGCTTCATATTCTTCTGCAAGAACCAAATTCAATTTGTTGCAGATAAAAGTCACAAACCAAATTGAAGTTCCCCATAATCTTTTATGATCTCTTCTAGCCTTTTTATCAACAAAACAAGAATGTTTATCTTCTTTTTTGCCACAACTGCTTCCAAGATTAGGACATCCCTTTTGGTGACTTTGGCATTTGTCCTCTTTCTAGCATATACAGAGTATGATATGTACCTATGAAAAATGCGCATTGCAAGGTTCAATATCTTTGTTGATTTGGACAAACGGGGGTTGAACCTTCCGATCCCAAAGGCTATATTCCAAGCCTTGGTAATGTCCCAATTCTTAGCTAGATCAAATACTCCTTTAGACTCACATCCCAACCATTTTCCTAACAGAGCCGGGGTAACCTTGTACTCCTTGTGCTCTTGATTTTTCAGCCTAAAAATAATTGTGTAAGGAGGATTCACTCCATCAAAAGCTTCTATTACTTCTAGGCTACTGAAAAATTCGTAAACTAAATGCTTATATGCATCTAGTTTAATCTCTGTTAACCCACTTAACCTCAAGTTTTCTATCCATTATACTATTTGTTCCATTAAGCCTAAATCTCTAAGAATATCCTAATCAAAGGCTTTGCCAAGAAACATACCTTTCTCTTCAAAAGCTTTAAAGCGATTCTTATGCACAGGGTCTTTGAAGATAACTCCATTCGGTCCTCTCAAGTCTTCTACCAGAGCTATGGATCCTCTTCTTGGTACTCCTCTTGTTCTTCTGATTTGAGGTGTTTATGGTGAGTTTTGAGTGAAAGGAACTTTTGAGTTGAGAGGATTTTTAAAAATGATTTTGGTGTCAAAGCAAAAATGAACCGACCTTTATATAGAAAACACGAGGCACGGTCGTGTGGCAGTCGAGCACGATCATTCCACTAATGTTTTATATTAGGGTTAGGGCAACATAACATGATGCATGGTCATTTGCGATAGCCAGCATGAATGCGCGTTGGTTTATAAAATCTGATTTAGATACACTCAACACGCATGATCGTTCCACTAGTCGTTCCAAAATAGACAATTTGAAAAAAAATGTTTGACTCTAATTGCACATTGATCAAAACATCAATAAACAATGTTTTTGACATTCTAATCACTTGGGGAGTTCT